CATGCTCCCAGCGTCGCGTGACTTCCACTGTCGTAACACTGTATTGATTAAAGTAAAAGTGCCAAAAATTTACTTAAATCCTGGATGGACCTTTAAGCATAACATAACTTACAGACAATAGGTGACCATTTAGCATTTCAAGGCTGTTCTTACGCATCCACCCTTGGGAAAAGAAAAAATTAAACCCACTCTCTACTTTTCAGGAAACCATCGACTCCTCTCTTAAACTCTTGCCTTCCGGTGACTTAGTGATATTGTCTCTGGACTTATGGCGCCAAAAATCGGGTTTTGATACCTATGGTGGGCAAAGCACAAATAATCCATTGTGTAGCTTTGCTTTTATAACAACACACAATCAAACGTTAACTCCTGTAAAGTGCTGTCTTCCATTACTGCCTACAGCAACTCATTCCATAAGCCAATCACCCCGTTATAGAAATAAAGCTGTTTTTAACTGAAGCCCGACCTATTCTTTCTAAATCTTAAACTTATGTCTTCTCGTTCTGTTATCTTCAAAACATATCATAAAAAAGGGGATGCTTTTAACCCATAAATCCCACGAATAATGTTTTCAAGGTTCAAAACATCATTTCTTAACCTGTTTTCTCAAGAGAAAATAAGTTTAAAAGAGATCTTAATTAATCTACCACTCTAATGTAACCCTTCCATATATGGAATGTGTACAATTTTCCAAATGAGGCCTAACTAGTGATTTGTATAGTGAAATGATTAGCTCTTTTAACTAGTATTTTAGAGCAAAGCCACATAAGGTTATCTACTGTCCACTGCGGGAAATCGAACCCCGGATTTTTGTGTTCTAACTCCGTAAATCTACACCGAGGGACTTTTAACTTGTAAGTTGTAATCAGTGTGTCTATAGTTACACCCATAAATGTTATTAGCTTTACTACTAGCAACAGTGACTCTAACAAGACGTTGCGTTTTATTTTATTAATTTCTTTCTATTTTTTTGTTTTTGGATTTTATCTATGCTTGTACAAATGTGTTCCTGAATAAATGAAGTTAACGCTGTTTTCAACTTGTGATTATAGGTATGAACTAAAACTGTCTAATTATTTCGCGCATAATATTTATTTCGTGCTATAAAACTCAGATACAATGTTTACACTATTATAGCATGAGAACGCTCACCAGTTTGAAATCTACGGAATATAAAGGCTTTTGTGCCTTCTTAAATACTTACTCTCTTTTCACACATTTTATTCGAATGTTTTTGAGTGTTAGTGTAACTCGGATAGTATATGCTGCAAGTTATTGAAGAAGTCTAGAAACTAAAGGTTCGAGTAAAAAAATAAAGAGAGTTCTATGGTTTAATCTGTATATCAATTTTGGCGCGTATTCATATAACAATATGATAGTATTAAGAAAAAATAGTGCTAAGTGTTTAATTAATAATATATTAAATATGAGTAAATAATCTTAGGTACATTACTATTTATTAAATGAATATTAGGATGTTTAATATGCTATTGTAAATTCACCCCATTTTTTCGAATAATTGTGTTGTGAACCGATAACCTCACAATGTAGTACGGAAGTAATTGGGCTTTCGTATTAGGATACTTTTGGAGTATTGACATAGGGATTCGCATGTTCGAGGTTGTTTAAAATTATTAAAATGGCGCGATCTAGATTTCCTGGCAGACCCGGTCAAAGGGTTGGTCGTAATTACGTGACAATTTTTCCACATGATACGAAATTGCACTTAGATTTGTCCGTAGTTAGACCTGTATCAAGTAGGATTGAAAAAGGATTAGATAACTTCTATGAACTGTTTGGAACGTCAGATGAGGTAGGCTAAGTGATACTGAGTGATACAATAACTTGAATAAGACTCAGTAAGACGAAGACTAGTAAGAGTAACACAACTTTACATAAGTCGCAATGTAGTTGTGTTAAACTGTAAACAGTACGAATTGCAATTTTTTTAAATACTAATTTTTATGTTACGAGTATATTGGACTAATATTAGTAATAATAACACTCATAGCATTAACAATAACAGATCATTCTCAATTTTGTGATTTGTATACATATTACGTGGAATTTAGGCTTAAAGTAATTACATTTTGGCAGGTCTTTCTTAGTTTGTATTCCATTTTGACACCCCCTCCGCTTTTTAATTTCAGATTAAGCGTAAAACTAAAAAGTTAGGGGCATGATTGATGTTTAATTTTTAAAGTGTAAGTGCAGATTCTGGGCTAAACTATCAATATCACTACTAGGCCTAACTAAAGAGTTGGTGTCTAGATCTAAAAATTTAAAATTAGAGAAGTAAAGTTCGACTTATAATTGAACTTAAAGTTAAATTTAAACTGAATATAATTAAGGTTTGGTCCATACAACTCAGTTTTTTTGACAGTGACATATTGTAGCCACAGAAAAAACAACTAAATTTAAACTTAAAGTACCTATGAAGCTAAATGAAAGCTACATATTTTGATAAGTAACAAAGCTTTAATTTCAAACAAAAATTTAAAAAGTAAACTGCTACTTACCCTGGTATTAGTATTGTCACATAATAAGACAAATATCTTAGAAGTTTATAGCTTTACCAAAATATAATTAGGCAAAAATAAATTCAAAATGAGGCCTCACCACTGACACCAGAGACTTGTACAAGTTTACACAGTTTTTTTCAATTTTTAAGAAAGGATATTGACATATTGGAAAGAATTCAAAGGGTAGAATGGTTCTGGGGATGGAATAGTTATCTTTTAGATTAAGTTCCCTTAATTTTTTTTTAGAAAAAGAAGGGTAAGAGGTGATATTATTTAAGCTTACAAGATGATTCTGGGGGATTGATAGAATAAAGGCTTCTAATTTCCTTGTGCTGTATTCTGAGGACACGTGGACACAACTTTAAGATGTATAAAAAAAACAGGCTTCGATCAAGTTAAAACAGTTTTATTTTTCTAACAAGATGATTGGGTTATGAAATGAGTTACTGTTGGCAGTAATGGAGGACAGTACATTACAATAATTAAGAGATGATAGATAATTTCCTGAAAAATATAGGTTGTTTGCAAATTTTTACTTTTTTATGTTGTACAAAGATAGCCTTGAAGGAACAAATGGTCTCTTGTTGATAATACTTTATCCTAAAATTAAACCACTAGACCCTATCCAGCAATTCATCATCCTTTCTTTAAATAAGGTGAATCAAACTGAATACATTATGAGGTCTAACCAACATGCCATAGAGGAAATTGATGATTTCTTTTGACTTGTACCTAATATTTTTAAGTACACCCTAAAATCCTGTTTTAATATAAGGAAGCATATGTCATGTAGAACAGGTTACTGTTTATGTAAATGAGAGTAATAGTGTGGGATTGGTGTATCTGGATTTTCAGAAAGCATATTTCAGGGTGCCACATAAAAGGCTTGTTAAAAATTGATCTTATTGGGTTTGTGGGGTATAATTTGGCTCATCAGAAAGAAAAGTGTCTGGAAGAAAGAAATCTCAAGGTTGTTACAAAGAGTGTTCAATCAAACTGGACTAATGTCACAAGTAGAGTACCTCAGGACTAAGTGTTGGGATCTTTGATCTTTCTGATTTACATTAATGACATAGATGAAGGAATAGTCAAGGAATTACTTAAATATGCTGATGGTATTAATTAAGGTTTTGGGTGTTGCTGACTAAGGAGGATGATGTTGCTGCTTTACAAAAGGGAATAGATAATTTGATGAGATAGGCAAGTAAATGGCAGATGCCTTTTGATAATAATAAATGCAAGGTAATGCATGTGGATATCATAATTTGCATAATAAGTATAATTTTTATGGGACCTTAATAGTGTTATGGTTAATCAGTCTCTTAAGCTATCCAAGGAGTGTACTGCTGCTAGTTGCAGGACAAATATGATTTTAAGTTGTATTTACACAAATTTTGAATACAAGTCAAAAGAGGCTATAATTTCATTATATAGGTTGCTGGTTAAGCCAGATTTGGAGTGTTGTGATCAGTGGCTCCTTACGTTAGAAAGGACATTGAATTGTTGGAAAGGCTACCAGAACTAGGATGATACCTAAGATGGAAAGGCTGTCATATGAGAACAGGCTAAGATCTTTGAAATTGTTTTCTATTGAATAAAGAAAGGTTAAGAGGGTCCTTATTGAGGTCTTAAAAAATTGTTAAGGGAATTGATAGTGTTGATGCATCATATTTGTTTTGTACTTAATGGTGAGAATGGTAGGACTAGAAGACATATAATTTATTTCAGGGTAGGAGTGCTCTTCAGCTAAAGCAGTTTTATTTTTCTAAAAGGCTACTTGGCATTTGGAAAGGGTTATATTTAGATGTGGTGGAAGCAGTAAATTTAAGGGAAAGCTTCATAAATATTTGAATGATAAGGGCTGGCTCTGATATATTTTGTCTTTTAAATAATTTAGTGGATGGAGCCCTTAAATGTTATGTTTCAACAGAACATTAGTTTGGAGAAAAATATTTTTTTGAGTTGTGACCCAAATGTATCAACCCTTTCTATATGTGTCACAGGTGAAAGGCCATGTCATCTTGTTTGTTGACTCACATTCAATATTTTATTCAACTACTATTTCATGAATTTATATCATAATGCAGATTATAATTCAAATTTTAGGACTATACATTACTCAATTTGTTAACTTAAAAGTAAATATTAAAATAACAGATAAACATCGATTTTTGTGTGTCACGTGGTTCGTTGAATGCAACACTGGTTCAAATTAGAACAGTTTCAGAAGTCAAAATACTAAGTCTATAGTTTCATACGCATTAGAAACTCAAATTACAGATATTGACAGGCTAGAGTATAAAATAAGAGGGTCTTATTTTTTCTGTTTGCTAAGATATTGCTCATGTAATAAATCAAACATAGTGGCACCCCACTCGCCTCCTTCCATTTTTTTAAATGCTCCCTTATAAACAATTACTTCTATATATGACATTAATAACCAATCAGAAGCTCAGAATGTCCCCTAGTGGTTTTCTAAGCCTTTCTAATGTACCTAGCATCATTTCTTTCTTTTAAATCAAGATTTCAATAAGGTAGGTTGTGTCTTCAGTCTGCTCGAAATTTCATATTTTTTTAGACCCAAATACAGCTTAGTTACTACGTTTGATAAATTTCAGTAGAATTCTATGATATTGATATAGGAATTTATGATTTTGTAGTTATTCACAAGTATATATAAAACCTAAAAAAAATGTTTTGTTTCATGTCCTCCACGTGCAAAATTTTTAAAGGCTTAGCAACCTACACCAAGCAGCAACTGAGTACAAAGGTCGTAACTGGAAAAAAAATTGTTTGCTTTGTTTCTTTATTTACTGTTCTATGTTTTAGGAAAAATAAGTTTAAAACTTATTTCAAAATAGCAATAATCTATATACATATATATTGTATAATAATTGAAATTTGAGTGTATTTTACAATAGACTAGTCCACTAAAACACAGCCAAGACAGGTCACTTTGTAAAGACCAAAGATCAGTTTTATATTATTGAATATGGTAACATGAGTGCATGTGAGCCTGTGTTCCCTTACTTCCTCACCAGATTTATCTATCCTTTCTTTAATACATCTCTCTCTGATTGAGATACTTTTTTTCTATGTGGGCAGGATTTCCAATGTTTGGATGCTGGACAAGAGTTCACTCCATGTCAGCATGCTTGTCCTTTTTGCTCTTCATTGGGCATGTTCCTATTCCTGCTCTACAGGTAATTAACTTGGTCGTGTTCCATGTAGTCTATTCCATGGTCTTTCCTTGGTCCAATCATTCTTGGGGTTCCTGTTCCAGGACCTTTTATTTTTGGGCAATAGTCATACATTTTTGAGCCTGTTCACATTACTTGCCAGGTGTTTTGATCTTGATGATAGACTGCCCTTCTCAGCCAGTTTGTATTCTATCAACAGAGTAATCTCTGAAACCCCAGGTCTTCCATGGGGTTTACTATTGTTTGTATATACCCCTTTTGGACTCCTTTTGCAACCATTCTCTTCTCCAGGCTTCCTTTTATATGGTCTTCTATTCCTCATCCTTCGACTTTGGGTTCTATTTACTCAGCTAGGCCTGGTCTTATCTTTTTTCTCTATACCTACTCTCCTATTAGTCTCCTCTTTCTGGGCCTCGGTGTGCTTGTTATTCAGACCCCTCTTCTTCTCCCCATTATCCCCTCTCTCTCTTTCTTCACACACTCACAATTTCTGTTCTCATAGAGGGATATCTGCATGGACTGTGGCATTATTTTTGTCACATTCCTTTGTCATTGGTCCTTCTGCCACCCCCTTGGCAGTAATCCTTTGCCCCATCTTTGTATCTTTCCTGATTTGTTTCCTTGGGCTTCGACCAATTGGGAAGTACACCATGCTTCTCTTGTTTTACCTTCCTTCTGTATTTTGCCTGTTGGACCATTTGCACCCAGCTAAGTTCCTTTGTCCAGGTTTGGCTGTTTGGTGCTCCTTATAATGGACCTCTGTCTTCAGCGGTTCCTGCCTTCATCTGTCCCTTCACTGGGATCCCTCTTTTCTTTGGACCTCTTTCCTTCCTCCCTTATGGTATTGGTCTGTAGGCTCCTCCCTTGATAGGTTCATCTCTAGATTGGATTCTTACAGTCTATGTCACCTTTTTTCTCATACAATTTGTCAACTTGTTTTCATTCTTTTACATCTCTTCTTCACCAGCAATTGGACAGGCTCCTCCAGGCAAGCATGTGGACTCTTTCCATGCATCCATCTCCTTCTCTACACTTTTGAGCTGTTTTCTCTCCTGATAGTTTTCGGTTTCCATAGGATTCCATTTTTCACT